ATACGTGCACCAGGGATGGCAATGGTTTGACACAGCTCGTGGACGGCCAACCCCGCGTGCGTCAGCTTGTGGACCCCCGCTTCTTGCTGGTCAACGCCAGCGCTCACGGTTCGCCCGTCATCGACGCCGCCTTTTCCGACGCCTGGGAGGGCGCCGACATTCGTGCTGCGGAAGTCCAGGCAAGCCGTGAAGACCTCATCAAGGTAGGAGGCAAGCTGAACGTGACAGTGCCGTCGGAGGAGCAATTCAAGTACCGGCTGCTCCCCACAGCATCGGTGCCGTGCGCTTACACGTGCCGTCTCGTGCCCTTCCTCAGCTCCAACTCGCTGGTCGTCAAGTTCTCCGGAGACGCCGAACACTACACCCAGGCGGTCTGTGGCGGGCTGCGACACGGCGTGCACCTGCTCCTTGCGACGCGGGCCAACTTTGGTGAGCTGTTGCACGCGGCGGTGGCACCCGCCGTGCAGCCGCGGCTGCAGCGCATGGTGCGCAACGCAAACGAATACATGCGCTGGGCCACCTCGGCCGACGGGCTGCACTGCTACTTGCATGAGCTGCTGAGCGGCTACGCTCGCAAGCTGAACTACTCCGTCGAGAGGGAGGGAGCGGTCGAGAAGTTGATCCTGCCCGCACTTGGACGTCACGCGCGCGACGCCCTCCGCAATAAGCGCTCGTCGCCGCGGCCCTCACCCTCGCCGCCGGGACCAGACTACAAGGATCCGGCGAAATGCCTCGACAACCCTTTCGACTTTACAATCCCCACCGACAGAACCACTGCTGAGGCGTGCGCGCAGCGCCGGTTCGTGCCTCCAGATCCAAGCTTGGTGGAGGAGTTCAAGCTCGGCAAGAACAGACATAGTGGACAAAATCTTCCGTTCGTACTCAGCAGCTACGAGCTGCCGCCGCCCAAGCTGGCTGCCAAAGATATGGCCGCACGATGTGAGCGGTTTTGGGCTAGACGGCCCGAGTCCAAGGCCGAGCGCAAGTAGGCGGCACGGACTAAGTGTAGTCAGCGCACTCACCGCAGGGCCGTAGCGGCCTCTACGTCGCGCGCCCTCTACAGTAGCGGTGGCTGGTTCGGCTGGCGGCCGAGGCGGGGCCGGGAGTGTAGCCGCGGTGGGGGTGAGCACACACGCACGACGACACGCGACTCGCGAGCGCTAGCACGCCGCAGGCATATACGTTAGACGCGCGCCGTCGTGCGTCGTTTTTTTGTTTTTTGTTTTTTTTGTTGAGTCGTTTTGTTCTGGGCAGAGCGCCAGAGTGCAGAGAGGCTCTCTTTTCTCTGAAGGGGGCTAGCTTTTACACATCGATGGTGTCTCATATGGGTACTTCGTACACGCAAATATTTTTACCCCTCGAGCGCCCCGATCGCCTCCGTCACCGCCGCCACGAGCCGCGACGCCTCCCCATCGCTGCGCGGCCCGTCCCTCCGCCACCTCGCCGCGTCGTGGTGCCTCGCCGCGTTCGCCCAGATGCGCAGCGAGTGCAGCTGGCTCCGCAGATCGGTCGGCAAGCCGCACTCGCGGTGCCAAAAGTTGATGCGCTCCTCGAAGCCGTCGGGCGCCGCCGCAGAGCGCGAGGCGTAGACGGCGTCGAGGCGCGGCATCAGCGTGTTGAAGGCGAGCAGCATGTTGCCCTGGATGCGCGCCTGCGCGTCGCCGGACGTGCGCATGCCGCGCACCTGCACCGAGAGCGGCGAAGGCTCGTAGCCGGTGGTGCGGGCGGCTACCGCAGCGGCCTCGTCTCCAGGTGCCGGCGCAGCCTCCTCCACCCCCGCCCCGCCCTGCGCGCCAGAGAGCAGCGCCCGCAGCGTCGTGAGCGCCTCGGGCAGTGTGGGCCGCTTGCGCAGGCTGTCGTGGCAGAGGCTCTTCTGCCCGTCTCCCGCCTTCGCGAGGTCCTTTACTGCGCGCGCCGCGTCGACTGGCCAGCCCGCAGCCACGTCCGAGAGCTTCGCCGCGTCGATGTCGGTCCAGTCCTCCTCGAACTCGTCCTCGCACCGGTCGGTGAGCTGCACCTCGGACCGGTTGGTGAGACAGACGAGGAGGGTGATCCCGATGGCGTAGCCGTCCGTCTTTGGTGAGTACTCGCCCCCCTTGGAGATGGAGGGGCAGAGGTAGCCAGTGGACATGTAGAGGGCAGTCGAGCGGCAGCGGACAGACGCGTCGGGACGCTGGTCCTTGGCGAAGCCCGTGTCGGCGAGGACGGCGGTCAGCTTCTCGTCGAGCAGGATGTTGTCCGGCTTGACGTCGCGGTGCACGATGCCCTTCGAGTGGAGGTAGACGAGCGCCTCGGTCGCCTCGCAAGCAATGCGAACGCGCTGCCGCCACGTCAGCGGCCTCGGCGGCTCTTCCATGCCCAGCCGCCGGAGCTGCGCCGCGCGGTCGGGATCCGAGATACGCAGCCGCGCCTCGAGCGAGCCGCCGCGCATCAGTGGCGAGAGGAGGCAGACGCCGTCGGGCGAGAGGCAGTAGCCGAGCAGCGGCAGCAGGTGCGGGTGACTCACCGCCTTGAGAAGCTTCACCTCGAGCTCCGCCCGTGACAAGCCGCCCGACTGCCCCGACTTTGCCCGCTTCACGACGAGCGGCAAGTGGCGCAGCTGCGGCGGCGCGGCGAGGGAGAGGTGGAGGTCGGCCGACGCCTCGTAGACGTGGCTGAAGCCGCCGCTGCCAATCAGCTTGCCCTCTGCAAACCCGTCGGTAGCCGCGGTGAGGTCCGACAGGGCTATCTCGACGGGCCGAGCAACAGCCGCCTCTTCCGCCGCGGCCGGCTCGGCGACAGACAGAGTTTCCAGCTTCGACTCTGCCGCGCTCACCTCCTCGGCCAAAGCAGGCAGCACGCCCACGTGCGCCTTGGCGGCAGCGATGCCTGCTCGGAGCGCGGAGGGGCTGTCCGCTGTGTCGAGCGACTTGAGCGCGCCCATCGCCGCGCCATGCGCCTTGCGCAGCCGCTGGCTGTCCCGCCTCCGCGCCTCCTTGAGCTTGTCGCGCGCACGCTTCGCCGCCGCCAGCACGGCCGGGCTCGCGACGCCGCTGCACGCCTCCAGCGCGCTGGCTACGCCCTCGTACGAGCCAGCGGCCACGGCCTGCTGCAGCGCCTCGTCCGCCGCAGCGATGGCGGCTGCGTCGGCGGGCGGAGGAGATGGGGCTGGCGGTGGGGTTGGCGGCAAATCGGCGGTGGCGCTGGGGCCAGGCGCCGCGTTGTCTGCCTCGCCGCCGCCGCTCTTCTTCTTCTTCTTCTTCTTGCCCTTCTTGCTCTCATTGGCGCGCTCCTCTTTCTCCGCCTCCTCCTCCGCCAGCAGCGCCTCGGCATGCCGCGCCGCCTCCGCCTCTGCCACCGCTCTCTCCGCCTCCCTCGCCTCCGACCCCGCAACCCACGCCGCCTTCTTCGCCACCTTCTCAGCCGCCGCCTCCGCCTCAGCCAAGACCTTTACGCACTCGGCGTGGCCCTTCTCCTTGGCCATCTGCAGCGCCGTCTTGCCGTCCCGAGCGCGCACTGCAGCGTCTGCGCCCGCCCGCAGCAAGCGCCGCATGACGGCGGGGTGGTCGAAGATGGCGGCGGTCATCAGCGCGGTGGCACCGACGCTGTTCTGCAGGATGATCTCAGCGCCGCGCCGTATCAGCAGGTCGACCACCCGCTCGTGGCCGTTGCTGACGGCGGCTATCAGCGCAGTGACGCCGTTGCTGTTCTGCAGGTTGACCTCAGCGCCGTGCCGCAGCAGCAACTCGACCATCCGCTTGTGGCCGCAGTTGGCGGCGAGCATCAGCGCGGTGAAGCCGTCGCTGTTCAGCAGGTCGACCTCCGCGCCGTGCTGCAGCAGCAGCTCGACCACCCGCTCGCGGCCGTTGCTGGCGGCGATCATCAGCGCGGTGCCGCTGATGCTGTTCTGCAGGTTGACCGATGCGCCGTGCCGCAGCAGCAGCTCGACCACCCGCTCTTGGCCGTTGTTGGTGGCGCCCATCAGCAGCGTGAGGCCGCTCACCTCGCCTCTCTCGTACGTCGCGTCGGGCCGCCCGCCGCCCTCGAGCCACGTCAGCACCGCCTTCTCTTCGCCTCGCTCAGCTGCTGCCACGACCGCTTCGGGGGTTGCCGCGGCACTGCTCGACACCGCCGGCGACAGATTGCCCGGCCGCACCCGCACGCTCTCGCCGCCGCCCTCGAGCGCCACAGCGTACCGCCCGCCCTCGAAGCTCTCCGCCACGCCCCGCTGCCCGATAAGCTCGGGACGGGAAGAGAGCCCGCCGAGCACGACGCGCTGGCCGAGCAGCGGCGCGTCCACAGCTGCCGCTGCCGCGCCCGAGGAAGCGCCGCCCGCCCCTGCCCGGCCGTCGCTGCTTGGCTCGCTCGCCCGACCATTCGAGACCATGCCGCACATCACAAAACACAAAAAGAATCTAAACTCGCAACTCTCTCTCACCACACAGGCTCGACACAGGTGCGAACTAAAGAATTTTACGACGTTGATCACTGGGCTTTCTACCTACCTACCTACGGGACTGGCGCGCACTGGCACTAACACAGGTACACCACGGAAAGAATTTTACAACGAAACTCCCTCGCACGACACTAGGCACGGGACTGGCGCGCACTGGCACTAACACAGGTAGGTACACCACGGGAGCCGCCTAAGCGACTCCCGCGAGGACGCACAAAAAGAATTCGAGACTCGCACACTAGCCTAGCACACTACTCCACCACAAAAAGAAACCGCCGCAGCCGAGATCGCACGAGATCGCCCGAGATCGCCCGAGATCGCCCGAGATCGCGTTGCGACGCGCGAGGTGGGTGTGCGGGATGTCTGTGCGCTCTGTGGTCCCGAGTAAGAATCTCGGCCCCGACAGCGATGTGGTTGTTTCATAACGTCGAAGGCTAGCTCAAAAAGAAAGTGGTGGTACGGGTTGAAAAAATATCGCAACGGACGCCACCGCCTTGCCCCTACGACCAACTCCCTCGGGGCGCGGCTCTCAATTCATTCCACAGGTCCAAGTGTGCACGTGGGTGAGGCAGCAGCGCCACGCAGCCCTGGAAGTGAATGTGAGATGTGATGCTGAGAGAGGGAGGGAGGGCCTGGTTTGGCGCGGCGCGCCTACCAGCGGCAATGTCGAGGCACGGGAACGCTTACCCGGGGTCGTCCTCTGAGCCTGGTCGTCGGCGCCGCGATGCCACGGCGGCGGGCATTCGACGTCGTCGGCGCGCTGCCCCGCGTTGGGCCCCGCCGCACGTAGCGACGGCCGCAGGTCGGCCCGGTACAGGGCGCCCTGGCCGCAGACTGAAGAACGGCCACGAGGGGCGGGTGTGTGATGTGCGGTGCGGGGTGTGAGGGGGCAGCGTCTTTGTGTGTGCGCGCGCGCGCCGCTGCCGCTCGTGATCTGAACTGAAGAGGGGGGGTCGGCCTTGAGAGCTCACGGGTGGTCTCACCGCGCCAGAGGCTCTGCCTCTCCTCTCGGGGATTAAACTGAGGGATAGGGGCGGGGATCCTCCCTCTTCCCGCCGTCGATGCCGGCCGGGGTTCAACCAATCCGGAAAGGTCATTACCATTCCTCCATACATACTACCCGGCTTCATCGGCGGGCTAGGGCGTCTGGGAGTGTGTCGTCAACTGGCCGGTGGTCTTTCAGTGTGGTGGGTGGGTTTCGTGACCGTTCAGCGTCGATGCCGCCTGACTTACCTGTTCCCCGCTGGCGCGACCCCGCGCCGGCCAGCGGAGCCATTGCCCGCTCGGTCACCACCCCCGCCGGCGCGACGCGATCCGATCGGCGCCGCCACCGACGGGGCCGCCGGCACGGAGTGGATTCCTCGAAAGAATGCAAAATAATCGCCGTAAAATGTTTCGAACTTTTGGTTTTGCTCGCGAAAGGCACGAGCGCTAGATCGCCATGATCACACCCGCCGACGTGGTGCTGCAGGCCACTGGCAACACGGCTGGCCGCCGCCGTGCTGTCAAGAGGTCACTGCTGGTGACTGCCATTCTCGGTGAACCAAGCCGCCCCATCCACAGCACCGCCGGATACGTGCACGAAAGCGGCTTCCTCCCCCTCCCCTCCCCGCCCTCAGGCGCTGCGGCTCTCTTTGTGGCACACGGCAGCAGGACCATGTCGCCGGCCGCCATCGCTGCGCAGCCGGTCAACGAGAAGGAAGGCAGCCCGTTTGACACCGGAATGCAAGCGATTGAGTGGGTGCGCACGCACATGCGTTTATGCACACTCCTCCCGCGCGACGTCCAGCGTGCGTTAAGACCCACCCTCACCTCTCACTATCAATGCATTGCCTCTCAGGCCACAGCTCAGGTCCTCTCGTTGCCCCAATTCTTCCCATATTCCGACGAAGTCATCAGCGCCGCCCGCGGCATCTGGACGCTGGACCAAAATACGGGATTGTCTGGCCACGACGACGACGACGGAGGCGGCAGCTGGTCATCCAGCCATAAGCTCTCAGGCCGTCGTTAGGGCTTTGAGAACGGATTGAGAAGTGAGATGGATCTCGCTCCCCAGCGATGGGTTACACAGCTCGTTCCTGGCGTCGGTGTCTCCAAAAAACTGCCCCGGCGTGCTTTAGAGCCGTATGAAACGTGTGAAGTGCAGGTCTAAATATTCTAAGTATGCCCAACTTGTACATTGTATGCTTGTGCGTGTGAGCCACCGTGAGGTGTGGCCCACTTGGGGAGACCACACGCGCATACACTTGTGTTTGACTCCCTCGACTCACACTCAACTGTACATCTGGATCGCGCCTCTCTCTCGCTCACGCGCCATTGCGCAACGTCACGAGAGTCACTCCGGCGCTGGCGCACTCTCTCCCCGTGCAACGCGCATATGGCAAAGCGGGGCGGACCTACGTACTAGGGAAGGCTCCCTACCTCACCCTCTAATCCCAGACAAGCAGCAGCCGCGTGTCAATACTCTCCCTCTCGCCCGCCGCGCCTACAACAGAAACAAACGGCCTCGAAACGGAACACGTGTCGAGGCGTTCATTCTCACCCGCCGCCGCCGGGCCTGCTGCTGGGTCGGGGAAGGCGGAGTGGACGACGGTGGCGACGGGCAGGTGCCCAAAAGGTGCCTATTCGGCCGAGGTGCGGCCGAGCTGCAGCCGAGATGCAGCCGAGGTTGGACTGTTCCCGCCTAGAGAGGCGCCTCTCGCTGCGCCGCTCCCGAGCAAGCGCCGTCCGCACCGGGACCAGCACCGGGACCGGCGGGGGGTGAGACGCCTCCGGGCGGCGCGAGGACCGAGTCGTACGCGTAGAGCAGCAGCAGCTCGTTGTCGGCCCGCATCGAAGGGAAGTAGAGCCAGCGGTGGCGCGGCACCCCTCCAAGCCGCCTGGGAGCAGCCTCTGTCGCACCCGCCGCCTCCGCCGCCTCCTCCTCCGCCTCCGCCTCTCCCGCGCCCTCCGCCTCCGCCTCCGCCGCCACCTCCAACGCGCCCTCCGCCTCGGCCTCCGCCTTGGCTGGCGCCGCCTCGCCCGCCTCGGGCGCCCGCAGCCGGAAGTTACGCCCCGCGTGCCCAAACGCCTCGATCTCGAAGGGCAGCAGGTCGGCAGGCTCGACCTGTTCGCAGCTGGCAGCTGTGAAGCAGATGTCGACGGGGAGTGGTGGGTGGGGGTGGGGTGGGTGGGTGGAGGGGGGGGGGGGGCAGGCTCCACCGAAACAGGGTCCAGCATCGCGAGGTGGGACGAGGTGCAAACATCGCCCGGGCCGAGGTACCTAGTACCGCCACCGTCACTCCGCGTGACACACACAGACGACGGGGCACACGCACCTGCGGAGCACACACAACTCGGGCAGGGGCACGCGAGGCGCGGTGTGTGCGCTCTCAGGGAAAGGCGCCAACACAGACACAAGGAACGTACCACTCACGTCAGCCTCGGTCAACCTCGGCTGATATCGGCTCATCTCGGCTCATCTCGGCTGATCTCGGCTCATCTCGGCGAATCGCAGGCGCCTCCACGCCGTCAGCACCGCGTAGCGTCGCGCTGCCGCCGCCCGCCGCGCGAACTTGAGCGGGACGCCGGGAGGTCCCTGTTAGAATTAATTCATTCATTATTAACTAATTAACTTGAGCGGGACGCCGGGAGGTCCCTGCTAGAATTAATTCATTCATTATTAACTAATTAACTTGAGCGGGACGCCGGGAGGTCCCTGCTAGAATTAATTCACTCATTATTAATTAACTAACTTGAGCGGGACGCCGGGAGGTCCCTGCTAGAATTAATTCATTCATTATTGACTAATTAACTTGAGCGGGACGCCGGGAGGTCCCTGCTAGAATTAATTCACTCATTATTAACTAATTAACTTGAGCGGGACGCCGGGAGGTCCCTGCTAGAATTAATTCACTCATTATTAACTAATTAACTTGAGCGGGACGCCGGGAGGTCTCTGCTAGAACTAGTTCATTCATTATTAACTAATTAACTTGAGCGGGACGCCGGGAGGTCCCTGCTAGAATTAATTCACTCATTATTAATTAACTAACTTGAGCGGGACGCCGGGAGGTCCCTGCTAGAATTAATTCATTCATTATTGACTAATTAACTTGAGCGGGACGCCGGGAGGTCCCTGCTAGAATTAATTCACTCATTATTAACTAATTAACTTGAGCGGGACGCCGGGAGGTCTCTGCTAGAACTAGTTCATTCATTATTAATTAATTAACTTGAGCGGGACGCCGGGAGGTCCCTGCTAGAGTGAAGAAACGGATTGGTTGGGTCCGAACTAGTGAATTGCGGCCACTCGCGAGGGAGCATGGCATCGCCTGCTCCTCCCACACGCCCGCGGCAACCTGATGCAGCGGTGACTGAGTCATTCCACACTCTCTGGCGATCGCTGCTCAGCTCATCCCCCGCCAGCAGACACCTAACATCAATCAGCGAATCGCTGTGGCTTCTTCACGCCCCGAGAGGCCCCTGCCCCGCCCCACACGCAGCTGGCCAGCTCGGGCAGCCTCGCCGCCCACGACCCCTCGGCCTGTCCACCAATCAGTAGCAATCATTCAGACGACAGAACCCAAAAGTGTTCCACACAAGGCAGTCCATTGGTTGTTACTCTCTTACCCATCACCGCGTTACTAAATCACGACCTATTACGCTGTTTATCAACGTGTGATGACTCCTTGTCACTCGTTGTCGACTCTCATACGCCCACCCCCGCGCCTGGTCGGTGTGCGCGTAGAAGCCGTACAGCCCCCCCGCCGCCCCCCGCACCACCTTCTCCTGCGCAGACCGGCGCACGTGGCAGTACGCCACCGCCGCGCTCGCGCCCGCGGCGGCGGCGGCGGCCGCCGCCATCTCGGCGTAGTGCAGCTGCAGGGGAGCAGCGCCTTCGGCGTCGGCGGCGTCGGGAGGCAGCGAGGTGAGGCGCGGCCTGCGTCGAGAACCACTCACAGCAGTTATTGGTCGCGCATTTCCGTGGGGGTCGCGAGGCAGGGAGAGGCGTGAGGCGCGGCCGAGGAGAGACGAGCTCGAAGCCGTGCGTGGCCAGCGAAGGGGGCGGCTGCAGCGCCCTCGCGTCTCGCACGGAGCAGGGGAGCCTCACTAGCTCGCAGCCTATGCGACATGGACGCGCGACGAGTTCTCAACTGAGCTGATGGGCGACGCCGTCTGGAACCCTCACGAGTTCGCAGCCTATGGACGGGCGGGTAGTTGACTGAATTGGCAGTGGAGGTCGGATGACGGAAGCCTCGCGGGCTCCCAGCCGAGGCTGCTCGGGTCGAAGTCGCACGGGATGGCCCCGTGCTGCTTTCGGAAGGTGCTCTCGAGCAGCGAGAAACCGCCGGCGCCGGCACGGGCGCCACATCGCGCCGCGGAGCTCGGCTGTCGAGTGTACGCAATCTCCACCTCCAGATTCGCTGGCGTCGCCTCTGCTGCTGGTGACTCCTCGGCAGCGGCGGCGCTGGCACCAGCGGAGGCACTGGCCGCCGAGCGAGCAATGAGCGCCTCGAGCGCACCGCGGCCGCCACCGAGGCCTCCGACGTGGCCAGCGTCGTCGCGAGACGTTCCGGCCGGAGGAGCGGTGTAAACGGGCCACATGGTCGGACAATGTCCCGCGGCGTTGTCGGCGGCGGCGTTGTCGGCGGCAAGGCCAAATTAAAGAATTCTAGGACGAAAAATTTAAACCGAAATCTCTCGGGGGCGGTCTGCTGCTAGGGGAAACCCGGAGCGCGGAGCCAACCCTCGGACGTGTTTACTTTACGGCCCTTTCCCTGCGAACGCGCACCCCCGGGGCTAGGGCTCTCTAGCCCGTAACCCGATGCCAATCATCCGGCCCGCTCGCCCGCTGGGTGCGCTTCTTAGCTCCCCGGCCCTGGATGTGCGGTTAATGACTGCACTCCAAGTGCTCCAAGTGCTCTCTCACAGCAGAGACAGGCTCGACACGGGTGCGAACTGGCGCGTGCTAGTACTATCACAGGCACACCACCGGAGCCGCCTAAGCGACTCCGTTAAGAACGGCAATGCACTTAGCACCGTGCACAATGCCGCTGTCCCCGCACGCTAGCTCGTTCACCGTCTGCCACGCCACGGCGGTTGTGGAGAACGACAGACAAGCGCTGCATCTGCAGCCCGTGCCAGTTCTTGGTGGTCCATGTGACCTCATCGAGGTGCTGATTAAAGAATGTTAGCAATTCTTCAATTTGCGCACAAATTAAAGAATTTTACACCGGAACTCCCTCGCACGACACTAGGCACGGGGCCGGAGGCAGCGCAAGCGGACAGAGCACTAGAGACGTGCGATGGAAAAGGTAATGCACCGTCACGGAGCGATGTCCTCGATCGATTCATCGAATACAGCAGGGAGGTAAACGGGGCGTGCACACACGGCCCCAACATGACAGAACACACGTTCGAAGTTCGAAGAAGGGCGAACCAGGACGGACATCCGAGTGGAGGGGAAGGCCACAGGACGCTCTACCTCGGAGGGAAGAAACCGGCGCAAGACAGCGGCACGCACCTGGGGTCGAGAGAGGAAGGGGACAATCGAGTGATAAAGAGGGGACCCCGGGCCTCGATACGAATGCGACATGGGAGGAGGAGATACCCGAGCAAAATAAGATCACGGCGGACGCGGTGAAAACGATGATGGAGAGACAGGAGAGGGAGCGACAGGAGGGGAGCCTCGGGGCGGATGAGACACTGTTCCCAGAGGGAGCGCCCCAGAGACACATAAACTGGCAGAAAGAAGGCTACGAGCTGTTGGTGGGATACGGACACGGGGCGAGCGCGATCAGAGTAGGGGAGCTACAGGAGGAACCCCTAACGCGCTTCTTGCTCCGATACGACGAATTTGAGACGAGGGCAGGGGAGAGCTGACGGACGGCAAAGGGACGCGAATTAAGATGGGAAAAGACAGCGAGCCGCTGCGGTCGGGGAAGGGACGAGCCCTGGAACGTGAAAGTAGCGCAGACATGCCTCGCGCTGCACGTCTCACACCAGTTCACACACTTTGCGGCGACGGACGGAGGAAAGGACCATGAAGACGAAATGGCGGAGGATAGTTAGAAAGTACGTGCCGAATCCTAGGGTGGCGTACGGCGTGTTCGAAGGACCGACACGATTCGGGAAGCGCGTCCCGGGAGACGCACAGGTAAAAGATCCGCGCGGGTCGCGCTGGTGCTGGTTGATGGTTGTGATCATCCAGGGAGTAAGAAGGGTGATGGCCACCTGGCAACGCGTGCAAAGCGTTGACGGAGGGGCCGAGGAAGAGAGTTCAGACTATCGCCAATAGGCGGGCCAGACTAGGGATGGCTCATCGGCTGGCGGCTGGCGGGCAGGTTCACCGCGTAGATGATGTCAGCAAACGAGGCGAGACCCGGCAGCTCCTCCCCAAACGTGTCCTTGAGGGCGATGGACCAGGACCAGCCGACAGCAACGCCGCAGGCTTTTGCAACCTCCCAGTACGTCGAGATCTGCTGAAGCACCGTCTCGCCGGCGTCCACCAAGCCCTATAGAAATCAGTGGATTGCAGTGGCACACCACCTCGGCCGCTGCCCACCTCGGGCTGAGCAGCATAGCCCGGCCTCGGCCGCAGGGCTGAAGCCGTCGAGCAGCCAAGCCGCCTTGTCCACCTGCTGGACTGCGGCTGCGGCCCGGGAAGCACGCCGAGCTCCAGGTGGGAGCGGCATGTCATTGAACTGGAACTGGAGTGCGCGACTCAATGAAGAAAAACAGCGTTCTGTTTCATATAGTCCTTCCTCAAGGACCCCTGGCGCGGTGGTGCGTGAGAGCCCAGAAACTCTCGCGAGTTTTCGCTGCACCCACTGACTGGTAAAGGAGAGGTGCCAAGGAAGGAGGCCATCCAACCTGTATCGCGCCTATTGATCTTGAACAACAAGTGAACAAGGTTGAAACGCCTTTCGAATTCGTTCGATCGCATTTCATCGATCCTTCCCCAAGGCGGATTACACACACACACGCCGTTAGGTCACTATTCGGCATGGCCATCCTCTCGGAAGTCTCCAACGTGACTCTCGGAGGTTCGCATCGTTCCGTGATGGTCGAGGTGGAGCCTGTGAGGGCGGCGGAGCCTGAGGTGGTGACGGCGGAGCGGGAGGTGGAGGCGGCGCAGCGCCACGTCGACGGGAGGTGGCGGGCTTGGCGCCCCGACGAAGATCTGGTCCTCCTTCTGATGTTTCGCAACGGCGCGGGCTGGAGCCGCATAGCCGAAGCACTTCCGGGCCGAGCGGGCGAAGAAGTTTTGTCGCGGATGTCGCAGCTGCAGGTGAAGCACGGCTTCAGCGCTTCCGACGAGGGCAGGCTGGCACTGGACGCTTTGCTCTTGGCCTGCGGCATCGACGAGACGGCCTAGAGAACATGAAGCGCGACGGCTTGGCGCTGTACAGCGGCTCTAGATAAGCTGCCCGCGAGTTGACAGCTCTCGTTGAGTCATGGTGTGCTGCACCTGAGGCGGCACGCGCGGTCCCGCCCCCGCGCCCCGGCCCCGCCCCGGGGCCTCTTTTCATGGCCTTGTCTCTCTCTCGATCGGCTCTCGCCTGAGATGATGTATTTTGTATGTGCGTGCACATGCCGCGTACTAGTACGATATAAAACGCCAAAGGGCTCCACACTCACCTCGCCTTGCTCAGCGCGCGCATCTCTCGCGCCGAGAGCGTGAAGCTGCCCAAGTCGAGCGCCTCAGCCGCATGCTTGGGCCTCGCCGTATTCGTCACCGCCGCGATGCCCTGCTGGACAAGCCATTTGAGGGCCACCTGCAGGTGGCACATGGACACGTCGTGGACGTGGGTCGAGGTGGGACAAGGCACCCCGACGGGTCTGCCTGCGCCGGCGTCTTCCCGTGCGCCGCGGCAACCTCTCGGACGACAGGGTGGCCGAGCACGTCGACTCTGCTGATCGACCCGAGCGGCGAGTAGGCGGCAAAGGTGATCCTGTGCCGCCGCGCGAAGCGGAGGGTCGCGTCGTCGCTGCCGTAGAGCGGCGCGCCCTCGGAGCACGCCGTCCCCTCGCCCCTGTGCGGCGCCGGGTGGCCGGCGACGGAGAGCGCGTTCTGCACCACCGCCGGCTTGGTGCGGGCGTGCCGGAGAAGACGCTTGAGCGCGCTCGCGTTGAAGTTCGAGACGCCGATTGCACGCGCCAAGCCTGGCAGGGATGCGGGGCAGTGCTTGCACGGTGGAGCTGGCCTCCTCCCTAGCTGGCCCGGGAGAGCTGTGTTGCCGCATCTAGGCCTGCGAGCCGCGGTCTCGGGCCGCCTCCAGGTCTCGGTACATGGCGAGCGTGTCGTCCCAGCTGGAGCAGGGGAAGTGGAGCAGCGCGAGGTCGACGTACCTCTGCCCTGTCATCGCCAGGCTATGCTCGAGCATCTCCGACCCGTTGTACACAGACATCGGCGGCGCCGATGTCGGGCGTGGCGGGTGTGCGCAGAAGCGGCTGCACCGATCGGTCGGGCAGCAGTTGACCTTGGTTGTGACAAAGACCTCTTCGCGCTCCACGCCTGACGCGGCGATTCCCGACGCGACGTGCCGCTGCAGCTCATCGCCATACAAAAACGCAGTGTCTATGCCGCGACCGCCGGACGCGAGCCACAGGCCGTGGTCCGTGGACATGCCGTTGAATACAAGAGGCATGCGGACACCCGGCGCTATCTCGACCGAAGAGCTGCTGGCTGGACGTTTGCAACCAAGTATTGCACAGCGAATGCCGACCACGACTGCGACGGCGGCGGCGACGAGCGAGAGCGGGTTGATCATCGCGAACGGAGTGGTGGCTGGCCGTCACAAAGTAGCAACCGCGGCTCGCCAGGGCCGTCACAAAATAGCAACCGCTGCCGCGCGCGCGCACCAGCTCGGGCAGCCTGGAAAGGATGGCCGGCTCTGCGGAGTTTCTCTTTTTCGAGTTCTTGTTTAAATTCTCTTTTCGAGCCTGTGTGCTGTGAGAGAGAGTTGTAATGTTTAAATTCTCTTTTCCTGTGAGCCGTCGTGACCCTTCCTTTTCTCTTTTACCTCTTCCGCGCACGCGTGATTGCGATGGTCAGCGCCTCCACCTTCTGCATGCTCATGGCCGCCGTCTACGGCGGCTTTGGGTTCACGATGTTCCCGATGGTCAACTTCTTCTACGGTCCGGAGTCTCCGATCGCCTACTTCACGGAGACGAGCGAGTTCCAAACGTTCTTTGCGCGGGTCGTCGGTCTGCTGTTCATCATGATCGTGCTCGGGCCGTACGCCTTTGGCGTTCCGTATGAAAGTGCCTGCAAGCAGTACCTCGTGTGGAACACCCTCAGCTTGCCCCTGTTCATCCAGGCGGCGTTCTACTACAAGACTGCCGGGCCGGGCGTCAATGCCGTGACGCCGTTCAACATGTGGATCCCGCAGATCGGCATTGGCGTGGTGTTTCTCATCCTCAACCTCCTCGTTGTCTTCACCCCGCCGGCGAAGAAGGGCAAGGCGAAGAAGTAGAGAAGAGTCGCTTTGCGTTCACTGGCAAGCGCTCTCGTGCGCGACGCAACACGCACCGGCCCGTGGTCCATGTGCGTTCGGTCGTGGCCGATCGCGATGTGTCTGAAGTGCGGAAGAGAGGCTGGTGCGTCTCGTCTGGGGTGTGGGGTCCCCCCGGGCGGGGTGTTTTGTATAGCGGCCCTTGTCGTCGCCTCTGCCACCCGCCAGACCCCACCACTGGCACTGCCCGTCCTGTGCCCGTCGGGGCCTTCTGAGCCACTCGTCTGTGTTCGCGCCACCTGTGCCTCGAGAACGCTGTTCCCAAGGCAGGAGAGTCCGGCCGCCGTTCATGGCCGCGATTTTTCCGAGTAAGGTAATGTCACCTCGCATCTCATTCGTTTCGTAACTCAGACCTGCTTCACCTCATCCTGCACCTTGCCCTGCGGCAGAGAAGATGGCGGGGCTGCTAGACGCCTTCTCTGCCGAGTTGAATGGCGACCATGAGGGTGATGGGAGAGATGGCAACTGCCCAATGCGCAGCCACCCACGACACAAACATGAGGCCTGTGACAGACAGTTGTTGTTGTTGTGACAGTGTTGAGGCCTCTGGGGCTTGCAGACGTCCTCCCAGGGGCACCCGAATGGTAACAAGGAACCATGGCAGCGATGGCGACTCAACATTTTTCACATAGAGAAGGTCCAACCAGCGAGCGCTTTTGGTCCAAGGTGGCTGCTGGAACAGGCAGGGCAGCATGCGTACGCTCGCCATCCCGCACGGCTGGAGCAAATCAGAGGCCTCGTTGAATGGTGACCATGAGGGTGATGGGTGGCAAAATGCGACAAAACAAAGCCGTTCGCCGTTCTCAAGCTGCGCCGCCTCGCGCGCAAAGCCGCGCGCGGCAGCGTCGACCGCACGGCCTACTCGCCCAAGTACTCGCTTTCTTTTATGTCCCACCATGCAGAGCGCATCTCTCTCTCTGTTGTGCGAGGCGTGAACCGCGCCATTCGCTCTCACCTGGCAACCCTGTCTGCACGTCTCGCGCGCGCGTGAACAGGGCTCCAGGCCCCAAATGACGTGTGAGTGTTAGAGTTGTTTGGTATTGCTAAAAATCTCTCTCTCTCTCAAAATGCGCAGCCACCCCACGACACAAAGATGAGGCCTGTGTTAGACAGTTGTTGTGTGTGAGTGAGTTGTTGTTGTTGTGACAGTGAGGCGCCTGGGGCTTGCAGACGTCCTCCCAGGGGCACCCGAATGGTAAGAAGGAACCATGGCAGCGATGGCGACTCAACATTTTTCACATAGAGAAGGTGCAACAGGCGAGCGCTTTTGGCCAAGGTGGCTGGAACGAGATGGAACGGACGATCGCGATCCCGCAAGGGTGGGGCAAGTCGACGGCACGCCGGGAGGAGTGGAGCAAGTGCGTCGCACGCTACGCGGCTCTGTGCTCCAAGCCTGTGTGCGTGGGCGACGGCGACGAAGACCTGCCGGGCAAGTCGACGCCGACGAGCTCGGGCGCACTCGACCACCTCGCCTCCATCGCGACGGAGGAGCTCCTGCGGCGCAGGAGCAAGCGCAAGCGCAGCATCATCGACCGCCCGCTCGGCGAGGCTCCTGTGCCGGTCGTGAAGCGTGTGCTCAACCACTGGCTGACCGGCCACCCTGTTCCGGACCGCGAGCGGCGAGACGGCGAGCGCTCACACTCTCGCCCTCTCGCCTACGCCCCATACCCAGCACCACGCCCGCCCGCGCTCACGCACAGCGCCTCCCGACTCTGTCTCAGATGGCGGAGTCCATGTTCTCGCCCGACGCCTTCGTCTCCATCGAGCTCTCCATCGAGGGGGCGGCCACGCCGGCCTCCTTGCCGAGGTGTGCCCACTCTCGCCCACACGCGGAGGCTCGCCACCCCACATCAAGGTGCGGCCGCTGTTGACGTGTGTCGCGGATGCGCCCTCTGAGCAGGTTCCAAATCCCGAGCATCAAGTACTTTCTCATGTGGGACCGCGCCATCTTCTCCAAGTACAACACGAGCGCGTACCACATCGACTACGTGCTCGAGAACCTCGACGGCTCGGTCGCGGTCCAGATCCGCCACACTCCGACCCTGCTCAACGGCGAGCAGCCCACGGGCGGCCAGGAGGTGATCATGCACCAGCTCTGGGAGGTCACCGGCGGCGGCCGCGTCCGCTCCTTCCAGCGCTTCTGTGCGGCCTCGCCGACGTCCTGCGCGTCGGCCTGCGCGTGTCAGTCGTCGTCGTCCTGCGCGTGGGTCTCGCCCCTCTCCCGCCGCGCGCTCGAGAGGGTGCGCGGCTCCTTCGGCGAGGACGCGCCGCTGGCGAGGGCGTCGTGGTCGGCCGAGGAGGGTGACGGCGGGGCGGGCGGCGGCGGCGTGGGCGGTGGGTCGGGTGGAGGTTCGGGGGGAGACCCGTGAGTGAGAGCTCGTGACCCGAGGAGCGTGGCGAGCGGGCCCCAGCACTCTGAAGCGCGAACCAACGAGGTCGGTCGGCCAGCCCCGAGGAACTCAAATCCCCGACGTACCCCTTCCCCGCCCCCCGCCCCGCCCGCCGTATATCGTACATACACACACACGCATATTGCTCGCCAATGTCTGGGTGGGTCCGCTCCTCTCGCTCGGCTCGCGCTTGTGTCTCTTTCGCCTGTTCCGAATGAATGTCACATCTGCCCGCTCCCTGTACTGTCCCGAAATGATGTGCGCTCTCCAAAGAAAAAAAACGGTGTTTCCATAGCTGTGTGTATACATATGTATCGCGCTCCCTCGTGACGTCCGGTCGTCGGTGGACCGACGGTCGTGCCGTAGCACCACGTGGGCCACGTCCGTCGTCCCTTGGGCGTTGGGGGGCGCGCACTTGTGGACTTGAGGAATGAGTCAGAGGAGCACTTGGAGTGCGGTTGGTAACCGCACTCCCAGGGTCGGGGAGCTAGAGCCGTAAGAAGCGCACCCAGCGGGCCGGACGATTGGCAAGGATTGGATACCAGCGGAGAGGTACGCGATACTCGCATACCTACGCAAAATGTCGAGCGCGAGCGACGCGCAGGCGCGACGGTGCCTAGTACTATGCGACTGCAAACCCGCGCTGCAGCAGATTGAGAATGCGCAGCGCAAAGGGATGCCAGAAGGCCTGAGGGAGCGAAAGAGAGGCGGGCTACTGGAGGCGATTGCTTACTATAGATCGAAGCTAGAGGCGGTGGTCTTCATGTGGGTGCCAGCACACGTGGGAATAGCCTGCAACGCATACGCCGACGCGGTGGCGACAGCATACCTCGGAAGTAACGACACGGAGGACGCCTCGAAAGTGGTGCGGGACGCGGTACGAACTAGAACATGCATGCACACGGCGAGAAGGGAGGCGGCAGAGGACACAGAGAAGAGGGAGATAGTGGACCGACGGACGTACGGGCACATGTGTCAGAGCGCGCACGAGTGGGTGTGCGAACAATTTCGAAAGACGGTGAGGCCGGGATCGCACACGGCAGGGAGTCGGTTTTAAATGCGGTGTTTGCGCACAATTGGCAGATACTGCCGTCCGACGATCGTGTACCTTATGTGCATTGGGCTGAGGAGTCCCAAACGGCACTGAGTCGCTACCGCAATGCGTCTCTCATCCACTTTGTCGGCGAGCCCAAGCCTTGGAGAGAGTTTGATGCATGTTTCACAAGTGTGTAGCATGTTCACAAGTGGCGCGGAGAAAGCGCCGGCTTATGCATGAATACCAGTGTCTCTCGCCCACTTCGCCAGCTGCCGCGCCGTCGGTCTCGCCGTCGCCGCCGCTCTCTCCGCCGCCGTCGCCGCCACCCTCACCGCTGCCGTTGCCGCCGCACTCCTCCCCGCTGCCGCCCTCACCCTCCCCGCCGTGCCGTCGGTCTCGCCGTCGCCTTCTTCCGTGTCGCTGTCGCCGCTCCGCCGTCCGTGTCGCCGTCGCCGCCTCGGATCTGTCCGTGTCGCCTTCGCCACCTCCGTCCGTGTCGCCGTCGCCGCTGCCTTCCTCCGTTTCGCCATCCCCGCCGCCGATCTCACCTTTGCCGTCTCAATCCATGTCGCCGTCGCCGTCGCCGCCGTCGGTCTCGCTTTCGCCGCCTCTGTCCTTGTCGCCGTCGCCGCCGCCGCCGTTGGAATCGCTCTCCCCGCCGCCGTCGGTCGTGTCGCCTTCGCCGCCTCCGTCCGTGTCGCCGTCGCCGCTGCCTTCCTCCGTCTCGCCCTCCCCGCAGCAAGCTCGCTTGCCGTCGCCGTCGCCGCCATCGGTCTCGCTTTCGCCGCCTCCGTCCGTGTCGCCGTCGCCGCCTCCGTCCGTGTCGCCGTCGCCGCCTCCGTCCGTGTCGCCGTCGCCGCTGCCTTCCTCCGTCTCGCCCTCCCCGCAGCAAGCTCGCTTGCCGTCGCCGTCGCCGCCATCGGTCTCGCTTTCGCCGCCTCCGTCCGTGTCGCCGTCGCCGCCTCCGCCGTCGGATTCGCCTTTGTCGCCTGCTCCGTCCGTGTCGCCCTCGCCGCCGTCACGATTCGGCATACACACAGTTTGCACATCTGCAAGTTCTTCTTGATGTACACGGCGGTGCAGCCCCCGGCAATTAGCGGGCAACTCAAGGCATCGACGCTCTCGCCGAAGCCCCTGTGCACCTCCCGGCACTTGCCGCCGTTTTATTCGGCGCAATGGCCGGCGTTGAAGCTCCGAACCCAGGCGCAGCCGAGCCCGTTTCTTTCAGAGACAACACCAACAACCTCTTTCACTCATTCTTAAAACAGTACCGGCCGGGATTTCGAAGATAGTGCTAAAATGGATACCTGGAGAATGGCATCTAATTTCGCGGACCGGCTCTTTTAACAATCAGGTCATGTGCGTGGCCTACGTCAGAGACCAAGTGACCAGCCGTCCCGGGCAATTTGTGACCCGTCTACGCCCTCGCGCCTCGGGCGCGGCTGGCCGCCGCCGCGCGCCGGCTGCCCGCCCGTTGACTTCCCCGCCGCGCGCTACGCGTTCGTTCGCAGTAATCTGGCTTAGTTCAGAGATGTCGGGTCGTCTCTATGCGTATCACAGCGCGGCGCTGGCCTGCGCATGGCGGGCACGCATGTAGTCGAATCAATCAATCATCCCGACATTTGATGTTAGTGGCAAAACGCGGAACCAAAATGGCGTTTAATTTTGCGCACCTGCTGTCCGCCGCCTGCGGCGGCGCTGCGCGCCGCCTACGCGCGCTGGCGGTGGTGCCGGGCTGCTCTAGGATGTCAGGCTGGCTCCATGGCACCACCCGTAGCCCGTTTGCTGCCCCGGCATCATCCGGAGGCGGGATTGAACATGATATGACGCTTCACGGCTCAGGACTAAGCGTGTGTGTGCCAAACTGTACCTGACTCACAAGTCACATGCGTACCTATCGTACGGAGGAAGCGTAGTGTCCCCGCCGGCTCCCCGGGGCCTCTTACAGTAGCCCTTTCGCGCGCCCCAGCGTCATAGGCCTCGTTCAAAGTGTATACGCGTTGATCTTGCCGTCGAAGCGGAAGGGCCGGAGGCGTCGTAGTAGTCAGCCCGCGACCGGCGGGCAAGGCGCCAGCCGCGATCGTTCAAAGCTGGCACGCCGTTCACCGTGAAGAGGAGGCGAGCCGGCGCGCCGCCCTCCAGCGGCGCCGGCATCGCCGTCCCCAGCCACGCGTGCTCATGCAGGACTCGCCCGTCGCTCTCCAGTAGCTTGACGGGCCTCCCTCCCGAACCTTGACGTGCGCCGAGAGAGGCGGGCAATCTCGGGCAATCTCGGGCAATCTAGGATCATCTCGGGCGATCTCGGGTAGTCTCCAGCCTTGACGTGCGCCGAGGAAGGAGGGAGCCTGCCGACCTTGAACGTGTACCGCCGCAGCAGCAGCGCCGAGTACTCGTAGTAGAGGCTGCCGTCGGCCGCGAAGAGGCAAGCCCCGCCTGATCCCGGGTGATCTCGGGTGATCTGGTGTGATCTCGGTGTGATCTCGGGTGAAGAGGCAAGCCCCGCCCGCGTAGCCGCCAAGCGCGAAGATGACGCCGCTGCTGCTGGCGGTCGTGTCGAGGTCGGCCTAAGACAGACTCCATAACGCCCAAGGTGAGGTAAGCTCCTCCCCACGCACACAACGGTGAGACGAGGGGGGCTGGCCTCCATGCGCACGTTCCCGTTCCGCACGTTCGGCGCCTCGCTCTCCGGGATGCGGACCTGACCTCGGCAGATCTCGGCTCAGTCTCGGCTGATCTCGGCTGAGTCTCGGGCAAGTCTCTGGTACTTCTCGCGTGATCTCGCGTGATCTCGCGTGATCTCGCGTGATCTCGCGTGATCTCGGGCAATTTCTGGTGATCGCTGGTGATGCGAGCCATGCCCGGGAAGAGCCGCCACTGCGTGTTTGACGTCCGCTTGACTTCTGCCGGATGGAGGAGGACGTAGAGGCCTCCTCCAACAGGGAGCACCTTGTTTGCGCGGAACTCGGCGTCCGCCAGCGCCCTCATCGCGCTGAGCCGGCCCGCATGCGCCGGCTGTCCACTCAGGTCCCTGGCCAGAGAGTAGTCCAGGCGCGTGTCGTACAGCTGCCATGCATCCTGTGTCGGGTCCCACGTGGCCAGGTCTGGCGCCCCCATCTCCCACGGGGCACGCGGCCCGAAGGTGGACGCTAGCCAGCCCTTGTGGTACACTCCGCGGCTACCCATGATGTCGAAGTACTGCGTCTCCTTCCGCTCGGCCGCGCCGGCGTCGTCGAACGTGTACACGAAGCTCACGCCGTCGATCGGGTCTTGCGCGTGCCCGTCGACGACCTCCGGTGGAGAGATGCCGAGCAGCTCGTAGACAGTCGGCGCGACATCGTTGACGTGGTGGAACTGGCGGCGCGGCGTGCGGTCGGGCATTACCCGCCCCGGCCAGCTCACGACCATCGGCGTGCGCGTCCCGCCCCAATCCGACGCCACGAGCTTGGTGAACCTGAACGGCGCGCCGCCCGCCCACGCCCACGCCGCGTGGTACATGTTGTCCGTCTTTGCGCCGCCGATCGCCGCCAAGCCGCCCAGGGCGCCAAGCACGCGGAGCTGCTCGTCGACCGTCGAGGTGAAGCCGTTCTGCGCGTTGAGCTCGGCGACGGTGCCGCCCATGCCCTCGGCCGACGCGCCGTTGTCCGAGAAGATGTCGATGATGAGCGTGTCGTTGCGCAAGCCCAAGGCCTCCACCTCCCCCACCACGCGGCCCATCTGGTAGTCGGTGTGCTCGAGGAAGCCAGCGTACACCTCCATCAGCCGCTCCTGGAACGCCCTCTCCTGTTTGCTCAGCGACTCCCACGCCGGCAGCCCCTCTGGCCTTGCCGACGGCTCCGCCTCCTCCGGCAGCCACCCCATCGCCTTCTGCCGCGCCACTGTCTCTTTCTGGTATGCGTCCCACCCGCCCGAGAAGGCGCCCTTGTACCTGTCCGCCCACCGCGCGCTCACGTGGTGAGGCCCGTGCACTGCCCCTGGCGTCCACCAGACGAAGAAGGGGCGGCTCGGGTGCAGCGCCTTGGTCCGCCGCATCCAGCCAATCGCCTTGTCGGCGAGGTCCTCGGTCAAGTGGTACGCTCCTCCGCCCTCGACCGCCGCCGGCGTCGGGATCTGGACGTTCCCCTCCCACAGCAGCGGCTCGTACTGCGACGTCTCTCCCGCCATGAAGCCGTAAAAGTGGTCAAAGCCGCGCCCGGTCGGCGTGCGGTCGAAGGGCCCAGAGCCGAGCGAATCGACGGGCGTGTTGTGGTCTTTGCCAAACGCCGCGGTCGCATACCCGTAGTGGCGGAGAACCTCTGGCAGAGTGGCAGCAGTCTTGGGTATCACGCCCGTGTAGCCGTCCCATGCGTTCGCGAGCTCGGCGATCTGGCCAGAGCCGACGGCGTGGTGGTTCCGGCCGGTGAGGAGCGAAGCGCGCGTCGGCGAGCACATCGCCGTCGTGTGGAACGCGTTGTAGCTGATCCCTGTCGCCTTGAGCTTCTCGAGACTCGGCGTGGCGATGCCGCCGCCGAACGCGCTCGGCTGGCCAAAGCCGGCGTCGTCAAACATGACAATCAGGATGTTGGGCGCCTCCTTGAGCGGCGGCTCCTCTTCAGGCCAGCGGTGCGTCGAGCTGCTCATCGTGTAGCCGACGGTGCCGCCCGGAGGCGCCGGAGGGAAGGGCAAAACGCGCCCGTCACGGCCGCTCCGCCCGCCTCGCGCCCCACCGTTGCTACCCATCGTACGGATGACATCGCCCATGCCAACCACCTCCTCGCCGCCTCCGCCAGCGCCGCCTCCCCCTCGGCCGCCTCCGCCGCCTCCGCCTCCGCCGCCTCCGCCGCCTCCACCGCCTCCGCCGCCTCCGCCTCCGCCGCCTCCGCCGCCTCCGCCGCCGCCTCCGCCGCCTCCAACCCCGCCGCCTCCGTCAGCGCCGCCTCCGTCGCCTCCTCCGCCTCCGCCCGGCGCTCCGCTGGAGGGCGGCGCACTCTCAAGACGGAGCGACGCGCGATCAGCGCAGGAGAAGGCCTGAGAAGCCGCTTCCGCGTCGGGCCGTACGCCGCGCCCTTCCCGCCGCCCCCAGCACCGCCAGCAGCGGCAGCAGCCGCATCTGCAGCCTCCTTCCTCGCCTCTGCGCCCGGCTTCTTGAGTGCGGCCAGCTCTCGCTCGAGTGCGCTCAGCTCTTTGATCCCAATCGGTGTTCCCCCAGCGGGAGTGAGGGCTCCCCAGTTCATAGGCTTCGCCATCCCGGCCTCCACCACCTTGACCCTCGCCTCGATGCAGTCGATGCCGACGGGAAGTTGGAGGTTTCCGTGAAACCCATCCTGATAGACCCGATGTCCGCAAGGGGCAAGCGCGGACCCTCCCCAGAGCGCACTCAGCTTGGCCCATGCAACGTGGGCAACGGCCGCAACTTGCGCACCGGTGCCCGGGGGCAGCGCGCTGGCGTCATAGCCCATGCGAGCAAGCTGTGCGCGGAACAGCGTCTCGAAGTCATCCTCGCTGCCGCTCTTCACCGGTGTGGGCGCCGGGAGGATGTCGGCAGCGAGCAGATAAAAGTGGAAGCCCACCACCGTCCGCGCCGCCGCCGCCGCCGCCTCTGCCGCCTCCGCCGCCCCTGCCCGCGAGCGCCTGCCGCTGCTTGCAGCCCGCCGCACGCGCTCCCGCTCGCGCGCCTCCCACTCGTCGCACAACGCGCCCCAGAACTGCGCCTCCTCGTCCTCGCCCCGCTCGGCGGTGAGCGGCAGCGAGCGCCAGCGCCCGCCGTGAGCCGGAGCCTCCTCCTCCGGCACCGCCCAGGACACCTCCTCGGTGCCTCGCCACAAGTCGACGACGGCACCGTCCGACAGCCTCGCGGGCGCTATCTCCCACACGACGTGCTCCTCGGCGGACGCGAAGACGTCCCAGCGGTTGTGCAGCAGCGCGCGCCACAACACGCCCGGCGTGGCGCGGCTGCCGCAGCCAGGCCCTCCCCCGCCTCGCCACTGGTAGATGGCGGAGGAGAGGGCGAGCGCACTCAGGCAGAGCAGCGACGCTCTCTGCGCGCCGCCGCCGCCGCCAATACTGCCGCCCCTGCTGCCCGCCGGAGCGCCTAGTCAGCGAATTGGACAACTAGCCCCCCGCCGCCCTTACTGCCGCCCCTGCTGCCCGCCGGAGCGCCTAGTCAGCGAACGGGACAACTAGCCCCTGACGACGAGCGATGGCCCTACTGCGAGGTGACCGGAACCTCTCTCTCTCGGCGGCAGCCTCGGGCCGTCCCAGAACGGGATCCAGACTCCGATCGCAGCCATTGAGAGCAGCGCCGTGTGGCGCATTGTCAGCGCGATGATGACGTGCAGACCAGCGCCGCAGACGACAAACACCCGGCGCAGCCCCACCGTAGGCGCGGCGAGGGCGAGCGGCGCCGCCGTGAGCTCGACGGCGACGGCGGCGGCGCCGGCGAGGCGGAGGCCGGCGCCTCCCAGCAGCGCGTGCGCCGCTCGCGCCGGCGGCGTGTGGCGGAGGTAGGTGTCGAGGGCGGCGACGGGCGCGTCGAGGGACCAGGCGGCGGCAGGGTCGCGCAGCTTGGCGCCTCCCGCGTCCTGGTAGATTGCGACGAGCTGCACTGCGAGCAGCAGCGACGCGAGGCTGCTACCTCCGCTGGGCGGCGGCGTGGGCAGCAGCACCGCAAAGGCCAGCAGGAGATGCAGGTACCGGTCGAGGATGAAGATGAGCGGCGGCACCCTCAGGCACGCAGACAGGTGCAGCCACCAGGCGAGCACCCCGGCGCCTCGCGCGCCGAAGAAGAGGCCGACGGCAGCGGAGGCCTGCAGCGCTGTCAGCGCCTGCGCCCAAGCTAGCGACCCGTGCCACGCATGCGCACACACGGCCCACGCGAGCGGATCCTCCGCCGGGTCGGGCAGTACCAAGCGCCGCGGGAGAGCACCGCTGTCTGTGTAGAGCCAGCGGAGGGCGTCCCAACGGCTCGCAGCCTCGAGGAGGACGAGCAGAGCGACCCACCGCCGGAAGAAGATCGCGCAGCGCGGCGTGACAGCAAAGGGTGCAGAGAGGAGCCGGCGAAGGCTGGAAGCAGCTGGCATGGCGGCGCAGCGGCTCAGTGTGCGTGTGTGTCGCACTGTGGGAGAGGTGAGGCGTGGTGCTCGCAAGTGATTGAGCCAACCAGCTCGCGCAAAAAAAGAAATTGCAGCGCCTCCCGATCCCGCTGCGTAGCCCGTAGCCCGATCCCGATCATCCGGCCCGCTGGGTGCGCTCCTTAGCTCCCCGGCCCTGGATGTGAGGCTAATGACTGCACTCCAAGTGCTCCAAGTGTCCATTGCTCTTTTCCGCGCCCCCCGTTCAAGGCGCGCGATATACACACGACCGGAGGGCCCGGGGTGGGACCTGGAGGCAGCGCGGTTCTCTGCGTGGACATCGACGTGGACAGGAGCTGTGGCCCCTGTCTCCCGGCAGAGAGGTCCTCACACGAGAGGTCCTCACGAGAGAGGTCCTCACCCTGCATGGATGCCCCAGCCGCGCGGCAGCTGGCGTGCTGGCCTGCGCCGAGCGGTTTGGCGTCACTCATGCTCGACACCAATCTGAGATGCTTCCACCTCCGCCCCCTTCGTCATCTAGAGGTCAAGTCAGTTTCCTCTCTCTCTCTCTGTGATGTGAGGACCTGCTGCCGTGAGGACCTCAGGTGTGTGAGGACCTTTTTGGGAGGCGACCTATTCAAGCTGCCACGGCTGCCACCCAACGACGCAGCTAATTAATTCAGAAGAAGCCGGGCATCATCAACGGGCGCAGCGATTCGCGGACGACTCGCTCGAAGATCCCACGGTGGGAGGAGCCAAGGAAAATAACGTGGGGCCGGGGGGGGGGGGGGGGTGACCTCAAAGAATTTACTAACAAGGAAAATAACGGATTAAGAATGCGGATTACGCACCTGTGGTTACTCCTCCAAATTATCGACTAAAACTTAGTTAACTAGCAGGTTTTAGCAAGGTTTAGCTGCACGCAGTGTGTCGTAGAGTGAGGGCGGCCACCACCCGGCCGGCTAACCGCGCGAGCAGTGCCTTGCCTCTCTGTAACGGGCCACCAGTGAGATATCTCGTATCTTTCCGGTGCAGCAGTTGCGCCGCCCCCGCGATCCGTCAGTCTGTGAGGACCTGTGTCTGTGTGAGGACCTCTTCGGCTGAGGCATCTGTCGGGGCTGAGGACCTCTCTGCGTGCAAAAATATCTCCAACGCAACCAGTCTTAGCTCCTCCTTTTTGACCTAGATTGGCGTGTCCATTTTCTTTCTTTCTGTCCCCACCTAGCTTCCTGTTGACAGGGGCAGCTTCCGGCTTCCTCAGAGCCCAGAGGTCCTCAGCCCAAGAGGTCCTCACAGAGGTCCTCACTGATAGGCGCGGATTGCGCGGCGCAAATGCTGCTGCCGGAACGAGCTCTCACCGGTGGCCCATATTAGAGAGGCAAGGCGCTGCTCGCGAAGCCACAGCCTCGTTTCGATGTCGCCCACCACCCATTTACACCAAACTCAACAATACATGCCATACCAATCGTACGAACAATGAAAGCAACTTGAATAGTGTGCCGCAACTATCCAACGGCACTGTGCAATTTGATGCAGCAAGCACCCGTGTGACAACCCGTATGTTGCAACGAGTGGATTTGCTTTTTCTTTTTACTCTCGTGAGCTGTGAACAGACGCACTTGCCTTCGGGGGCAAGTAGCTAGGTTGGGCGTGCTTTCACGGCCTCACGAGGGTATTTTCTTTTCGAGAGCGCCTTCGCGGGAGGGCTATGACACCGATTTACCGGACGAGGTCCAGCAGGAGGCGGTCTGCAGGTTGCAAGCCTTGTTGCACCAAACCTTATCTACAGTTTCTCTTGGTTGATATGTTTTCACTCCGTGTCACAGTGCGTAAACACACCGGTCACGCAGCAGGCCAGCAGCCGCCACCTGCAGTTTGCTTGAACTCCCATGAGGCAAGAGCAGAGGCTCAAACTCGCTACCCAACGCGGCCAAAGGATATCAACCTCGAGAACCTCGAGAGAGGCTCAAACACCTCGTTCTCTCCGTAAAACATCGACGTGGACAGGAGCTGTGGCCCCTGGCTGTCGCCCGGCAGAGAGGTCCTCACACGAGAGAGGTCCTCACAAAGAGGTGCTCACCCTGCCTGCAGCCGGGACGCTGGAGCATGCCAGCCGCGAGGCAGCTGGCGTGCTGGCCTGCGCCGAGCGGTTTGGCGTCACTCAGGCTCGACACCAATCTGAGATGCTTGGCCTTCCACCCCCTTCGTCATCTAGAGGTCAAGTCTTGCAGTTTCCTCTCGCTGTGATGTGTTGTGTGAGGACCTGCTGCCGTAAGGACCTCAGGTGTGTGAGGACCTTTTTGGGAGGCGACCTATTCAGTGCCACGGCCACCCGACGACGCAGCTAAAATTAATTCAGAACAGCCAGGCATCATCAACGGTCGCAGCGATTGCGCGGACGACTCGTTCGAAGATCTCTGGAGAGAAGCCACAGCGGGCTCCGTCCTACGACTTGAAGCATGTCGATGAGTTATCCCTCCCCAAGAGGAGCTGTTTGTGCAGGTAGGAGCACAGCACGAGTGAGCAGTGTTTTTGGTTATCCAATGTTTGTTGCTTTGACCATCTGATTGATTGATGGGAAGGCGAAACTTGGGATGTACATGTACAATTATACAAGGTTTGCCTCTCGCACCCCGTCTGTTTTTCTCTACAACACCCTCTCTTTTCCTTTTTATTTTCCCGGGAAAACTGCGTGGAAATCGTCAAATTTTGGGCTCTGAGCCGAGTCTGAGGCGGGTTTGGGCCCACAATCAGCCAAATTTTAGGCCAAATCGGCAAAATGCCGGGAATTTTGCGGAGAACCCGTGTATACCTGGAAATTACCCTGCGACCGTCTGGGTATTTTGTCGATTTCCTCAATTTTGCCTCAGATTTTGCCCCAGTGCCCAGACGGTCACACAGGAGCGACACACATAACCACAAGACAAGACACTCAGCCAACGTGGCTCGTGGCTGCCACACATCCTGAGCGGACTTCCCTAGTCACCCGCGGCCGGACTCCATCCGGCACGCGTCGCTGGGCGTACATTGCTATGGTACTCGAAACACGATGTTTTTTCACTCTCAGAGCGTCCGACCGGCTGCCTTTACAACGTCACCCCTGCTTCTTGGGCAGCAGCTGGTTCGACAGGTCCTCGCCGTGGCCCAGCTTGCCAAAGTCTCCACTGCCCCAGCTCCAGACGGCGCCGTCGGCGGTGATGGCGAGGCTGTGGTGGTATCCAGCCGACACAGCGACGACGCGCTGGCCGGCAAAGGCCTCGATCTTCTTGGGCAGCAGTTGGTTCTGCGCGTCGCCGTGGCCCAGCTTGCCTAAGCCTCCATCGCCCCAGCTCCAGACGGCGCCGTCGGCGGTGAGGGCGAGGCTGACAGCGGTTCCAGCCGACACGGCGACGACGCGCTGGCCAACCAAAGCCTCGACCTTCTTTGGCAGCAGCTGGTTCTGCTGGTCGCCGTGGCCCAACCGGCCATCATCTCCAAGGCCCCAGCTCCAGACGGCGCCGTCGGCGGTGATGGCGAGGCTGAAGTCGAGTCCAGCCGACACAGCGACGATGCGCTGGCCGGCAAAGGCCTCGATCTTCTTCGGCAGCAGCTGGTTCTGCGCGTCGCCGTGGCCCAGCTTGCCGTGTTCTCCATCGCCCCAGCTCCAGACGGCGCCGCCGGCGGTGAGGGCGAGGCTGTGGTCGCCTCCTGCCAATACGGCGACGACGCGCCGCCCCGCCAAGGCCTCGACCTTCTTCGGCAGCAGCTGGTTCTGCGCGTCGCCGTGGCCCAGCCGGCCAGAGGCTCCCAAGCCCCAGCTCCAGATGGCGCCGGCGGCGGTGATGGCGAGGCTGTGGTTGCCTGCAGCCGACACAGCGACGACGCGCTGGCCAGCAAAGGCCTCGATCTTCTTCAGCAGCAGCTGGTCATGCTGGTCGCCGTGGCCCGCAAGGACTCCAAAGCCCCAGCTCCAGACGGCGCCGTCGGCGGTCAGGGCGAGGCTGTGGAAGTCCCCAGCCGACACGCTCACGGCGCGCTCGTCGCCCAGCGGGGAGGAGGGGAGGAGAGTCGTCGTGTTGAGCCGAGTCACGCCCTCGCCGTGGCCGAGTAGCCCTGGGCTGAACCACGGCGCAGAGCCGCACGACGAGAGCTGCCCCTCGCCGTCGATGAAGACGCTGTGCATATTGCCTGCCGCCGCCCTCGCCGGCGGGTTGGACTCGCGCAGCAACGCATAATAGCACAGCCACCGCACGGCGCAGCTCTCGCCCTCGGGCTGCGCCGGCAGCTCGAAGCCGCGCTCTTGCGCCCACAAGCGGATGCCCTGCTCCGCGAGCGAGTGAAAGAGGTGGGAGACGGCCGCGACGCGAGCGATGTCGAGGGGGCTGTCGCAGCGAGAGAGGGCGCGCTCGAGGAGCTCCCTGGGGAGGTCGAGGAGGCGGGCGGGCGGCGGCGCGTCTGGCGAGGGGGCGGCGGTGGAGGCGGAGGCGAGGCGGCGCGAGCGGCGGCGCGGCGGGGTGGACATCACGAGAAAAGAAAAAAGCAAAAACCAGGAGAAGCATCGGTACGCATCTTTTCTTCCCAAATGTGTCTTGGCGTCCGGGCGCTGGGTTCCAACTTTTTGCGGGGTATGGTATGGTACCCTCGCGGCCCAAAGGGTGGGGGGGTATGGTCCTGACCGCCCATCCCCGGTCTCCGGGAGGCTGGGTCTGTCAGCAGGCGGGGGGGGTATGGTCTCGAGGTGGGTTGCGCGAGCGTACCATACCATACCCCGCAAAAAGTCCGAACCCTGGCGAGTAGAGGCCCCGCCGGGACCCTCTCCGAGGACCCATTGGGTTGCTCTTTCGAGGACTCGCCGACTCGTCTGCGGACTGGCACAATGGAGAGACGCCGAGCGCCTGACGGCGAGCTTTACACAAAGAGCCAGTTCGAGGAGTGGTTCGGAGGACTCGAGGAGTGGGCCGCTGCGGCGCCGCAGCGGGAGCAGCAGCCGCAGCAGCAGCAGCAGCGACGGTCGCGCCAACAGCAGCGAGAGCAACAGCGACCGCCGCAGCCCGAGGAAAAGCCGGCGGAGCCGGCCGCTCGTCCTCGCCGCGTCCTCGCCGCCGGGTCACCGCTCTTCCAGCAGGTGGTCGCCATCCAGCGCGACCGGCAGAGCTTTGCCGCGGTGTGCAGTGTAGCGGTCGCGTGTGCCTGGCGGGTCCCTTCTCTCCCGCCTTCCGAACGGCACCGGCGGAACTTCAAATGGCCCGCCACCCTGCGTCCTCCCCGATGGCCGCCCTGCGTCCTCCTCCCACAGGTGGATCGCGACGACAAGAAGCACATCAAGCGGTGGCAATCAACGAGCCGGTGGGAGCAGGGCCAGGGGCCCGATGCCAATCGCGAGGGCGGAGCTCCCGCCGCTGCCCCTGACTAATCGTTGTCGGTGCTTCACCGTGGAGTCGCTCCGGCAGATAGGTAGTGTTCCCGGGGGTTGTACACAGCTCACTCTCAGATAGGTGGGTACCCAGGTAGGGTACGGCTATTCCTATATGTGTATTGAAATAAACGATACAAAATTCTGGTTTTTCTGCCGTGCGCCTCCGCACACACTCTACATATATGTGTATCGAACAAGCAACGTACCGACCTGTGGGCCGACCCTCCACCCTTCCGTGGAGAAGCTTATCTTCCTACCTACCTACCCTTCCTCCAGCCCTCCTCCACCCACCTGGCACGCGTCCTTCTCGCCCGGCAGCGGCCTCAGCATCTCCCACACCCGCGCCATCGGAATGCGCGCCAGCTTCGCCTAAATCGAAATCGTGGTACGCATCTCGCGATCAGGTCACACGCCATCTCGGGGGCACGCGAGCGTTTCGCCTCGCAATCGTTGATCCCCATCGACAGGAGCAGCTGCTGCCCCTGCCCCTGCCCCTGCTGCCCGTCTGCGGTCGGAGTCGCGTTCCGCGCCGCCTCGAGCACGGCGCCGCTGATGAACTGCACGCTCTCGCAGTCGTCCTAGGCCGTGCCAGCGACTCGCTCTCACGAGAACTCGCCGACATCTCGCCGGGAGATGTAGCCACATCTCACGCGCTAGCCGGCCAGTAGGGGGATTTGGATACGGTACCGAGGGGGTAGGGGATTTGGCACCTCCGACTGACTCGACGCGACGCAAAACTCACGCGACGTGGCCAGCAGGCGGAAGGGGTAGACCGGCTGCATGGTGTAGAAGAAGTGCCTGCGGACGCCGCGCCGCCGAGCGAAGGGCGTGAGGGAGGCGTGTAGCCAGCGTCGCTCCGCCGTGCTGACTCTCTTGCCGCGCTAGGATGTCGCGCGGAAGAAGGGGGGGGGGGGGGGGGGAAAGGGCCCCCCTTTTCTGCCAGCCCAAATTGAAGGGGGTGTCCCCCCCTGAAGCGCGCACCCTCTCCCGAAGCCGCTTTCAATCGCCCCCCAAGGGTTTTGGGGCCCGGGGCCCGCCCCGGCAAGGGACCTTATTTTGGCCGCTGACTTTTGCTGCGCTCATGAGGCCTCGCGCTGTTTGCTCGGCTGATCTCCAGAGCCGTAGCTGATCAGCTCGGACGGCTAATCCTGACGCAGCCCCGTGAGACCTCAATAAGCCATCATCACTTCCTAAGGCAGCGTGGTGGGTCCAGTGGCCTTGCCACTTTCCCC